GAAGGGGAACAAAAACTTAACCCAGAAAAATTAAGAACCTGAAAGGTTAAATAGATACAAATTAGGGGGTCCAATGTTAAAAAGAGTTAACACTGAACATAAATATTATGAATTATCAATAATACATGTCTTTATTACAAATTTGTTTAAAAACAATTATAGGCCCAGATATAAACTCAATAAGAATTTCAAATTGTATCATATGCAAAATTAGGATCTTATGTGTCGCAACCTCCCCACCAACATTGATACAGTAAGAGAACTGGAGGCCCCTTGGCCATCTTTGGATTTGGTTTTTGACAGCTTCAACTGGCTTTCCTGAGCCAATGTTGACATGATCCTGGGTGCTATTAGGCTGATCACATGCCCCCTAGAGCCATGACCCTCATGCCTGGTGAAAGCCAGTAGTGAGAGGATACAGAGTCCCCTTGTAGACATTATCAGTCTGTTCCTAGATCTGGAGGGGAGGTCTTGATCTAGAAGGATAGAAGGAGGCTGACATCGTACCACACTTGAAAAAGCCATCTTTGGATCCTTCTGATCCTTCCAATTATTGCCCAGTTTCTAATCTTTCATTTCTGAACAAGGTAATTGTAGTTGCAGAACAGCTCCAGAGTTTCCTGGATGAGACATCAGCCCTGAACCCATTCCAGTCCTGCTTCCACCCTAGCCATGGGACAGAGATGGCTTTAGTTGCCCTCAGGGATGAGCTTCACAGGCAGCTGGATCAAGGCAGGTCGGTGTTGTTGATATTATTGGATCTCACAGCAGCATTCAATATGGTTGATCACTATCTCTTGACCCACTGCCTCACCGACATTGGAGTTCAGGGGTAGTCTTACAGTCTTACATTTTCCCAAGGCTGGGGACAGAGGGTAGCGCAGGGAGTGAGGGCATCACCCAGGTACCCCTTAGTATGTGGGGTATTACAAGGGCAATCCTGTCCCTGATTATATTTAACATCTACATGTACCCCCTTGCCCAGCTGGTGTGAAGGTTTGGGCTGAGGTGTCATCAGTATGCTGATGACACCCAGCTTTATCTGCTGATGGGCGGCTGGCCAGATTCCATCCCAGACAGTCTGGTAGAGGGGTTGGAGGCTGTGATAGGATGGTTAAAAGAGTCAGCTGAGACTGAATCCTTCTAAGATGGAGGTTGGGTGGCTAGGTCAGGGAGATTCAGGTGTGGGGTGTCTACTTCCAGCCCTTGATGGTGTGCCTCTGAGACTGGCACCTGCCATCAGGAGTCTGGGTGTGACTGTGGAGACCCAGGTCACAAATGTTGCCAGACGGGCATTCTTTCATTTGCACCAGGCTAGGCAACTAGCCCTGTACCTGTCTCACCCTGAAGTAGCCACTGTAATCCATGCAATGGTCACCTCCAGATTAGAGCAACTTGCTCTACATGGGCCTACCCTTAAGAGGCTGACCTAGAAACGCCAACTGGTACAAAATGCACCAGCACGGGTCCTTACAGGGATGCCATGCACAGTACATATCCATTTGGTGCTGTGTGAGCTGCATTGACTTCTGGTGGAGTACTGGATCAGATTCAAGGTTATGGTTTTGACCTTTAAGGCCCTTAATGGCCAGAGACCTATGTACCTTTGGGACCCCCTCTCCTGGTATACCCCCAGAAGTGCGCTACACTTGGGAGATCAAAACTTATTGGTGGTCCGGAGGAGAAGGGAGGGACTTCCGTCTGGGCGTTTGCGTCAACGTGAGTGCCGGCTGTTTAATATTTGGACTGTGTATGGCTATGAATCCAACGGGGATTGTGAAGGAAAAGAAAAGCTTGAATTGTGACAGCGAAAAGTGCCTTATGAGCGCTTATAAAAGTCAACAATTGAAGAGGAGAATCCAGCGAAGGGACTGGGAGCGGATAAAAGCGAAATTGAAATTAATACCATTCTCAAAGCTGGAGATCTCCGGGCATGGCATGAAATTAGTTTAGTTTATTTCTATTACAGTCCTTAGACCAACAGACAATGCATTCCAGAAAATTAAAAGCTAATTTAAAATTTTAAAATATAAAATAAAATGCTTCCAAATAAAATGCACCAAAACTAGTATATAAGTTACACTTACATCTAACCGCTCAACAATTTCTGTGACCTGAGTATCAGCTTACAAAACCTGGCTACTTAATGAGTAATCTTGGGAAGTTTGTGAATTTAAAAAAATTCAATTTTAGTTTTTTCCAATCAGTGGGGTGATAATCTCTCTACGCGCCACCTCATAGTGTGGACATTTGAAGAATATATGTTCTAAAGTCTCTATCTCCCTGAGTGGGCAGGTGCAAAGCCTTTCCGCATAGGGAATGTTCTTATATTTCCCATCAAGTACAGCGGAAGGGAGGGCAGAGCATCTAGATAAGGAAAAGGCTCTTCTGAGCCCTTTTTCTTCCAATGATGTTAGATAATCTGCTGGCTCAACTGTATGCACTGCCACAGGAGGTGGTGGCGGCTACAAGCATGGACAGCTTCAAGAGGGAATTAGATAAGCATATGGAGCAGAAGTCCATCAGCGGCTATTAGCCACAAGGTATAGATAGGAACTCTCAGGCTGGGGCAAGTGATGCTCTCTGTTCTTGGTGCTTGGGGGGGGGGCACAGTGGGAGGGCTTCTAGTGTTCTGGCCCCACTGGTGGACCTCATGATGGCACCTGGTATTTTTGGCCACTGTGTGACAGAGTGTTGGACTAGATGGACCACTGGCCTGATCCAGCATTGGCTTCTCTTATGTTCTTATTTTTAATACTTGCCCTCATAATATTTTGTATGCTAGCAATATCAGTTTGATGTTCAATGTCCTTAATTCTTTGCTTGATCGCAGTGTCATCTATAGTTAATTAAATGTACTGTTTTAGCCTGATCTATTTTAGTCTGACGTTAAACTGTTTTGTTTGATGTTTTATTTGATTGTGTATACACTGCCCTGAGCCTGGTCCCACTGGGGAGGGCAGTTAACAAATTCAATAAATAAATAAAACAGACATGTTTCAGCCTATCGGCCTTCTTTACTAGTCAAGCATAAGTGTTGCACATAGGCTCAATTATTGCAAAACTAATATTAATCAATATAGGACCAAGTAAAAATTATGTTCTGATAAATTTCAGTGACTCAAGGCAAGGACGTACTATATAGGCCTCATGTGACATATAGGGAAGGGAGAAAACCTCAACAACAGAAAATATATACAGAAAATCAACACGATGTTAAACACATAACCAATTTACTTCTTTGGTTAGGCCATATAGTGTTAAAGTTTTTAGAGTATGAATCATAGAATCACAGAGTTGGAAGGGGCCATACAGGCCATCTAGTCGAATCCACTGCTCAATGCAGGATCAGCCTAGAGCAGTGGTGGCGAACCTATGGCACGGGTGCCAGAGGTGGCACTCAGAGCCCTCTCTGTGGGCACGCGTGCCATCGCACCAGACCATCATTAAAGTGTCAAATTCTCTGCCAAATAATTTTAAGTAGATGAAAGCATTTGGGATTGCTTTCCTTACTTTCTTTGGATCATCTTAAGTTAATGTATGAGTTGTTTTTTCTAAAGTAAAACTTCAGTATTCAGGTTAAATTGCCATGTTGGCACTTTGCGATAAATAAGTGGGTTTTGGGTCGCAGTTTGGGCACTTGATCTCTAAAAGGTTCGCCATCACTGGCCTAGAGTATCTCTGACAAGTGCTTGTCCAGCCGCTGCTTAAAGACTGCAAGTGAGGGGGAGCTCACCGCCTCCCTAGGCAGCTCATTCCACTGTTGCACAACTCTTGCTTCCAACCACCTCATTTATAAGGGCAACTGTCTTCCAGAGTCTTGAAGACAGATTTTTTTCAGAAATTTGCAGTAGCAGTGATGGTGTAAGGAATCAGAAAGGACTGCAGGTAATAACTAAACACTGTCGTCAGGATCTGGAGGAAGCAAACCAATATTGTGGGGCACCATCCTGTACAAGAAAAGGGGACTGATGCTGAATGAAATCATGAGGAAAAGGAGGGCACAACCAAGCACCAAGGAACATTGTTAACACAAAAGGCTGTAGTTCAGGATAAAGCACTTCCTGATGGTAGCTTCCATCACAGCCCATTTCAGATGATGGTGTTCACTGAGGACCACAGGTTGTAACCTATGCCTTCAGAATCTCCTTTAGCACTGACCTATGTCTCTCTTTTCATGATGATTCTTCTTAGTTTGAGTTTCAGTTTTAAAGGTTTTTATATTGTCCTTAGCAGGGTTATTGAGTGACAGGAGATTCTACTTTCAAGATAGAAACCCATAGAGGTAATTTGTGAGAAGAACCTTCACACAGACAGAAGACCCCTCGGGATGGGCTGTGGCTCACTAACATGCAGAGCCGGCTCCAGGTTTTTTTGTAGACTAGGCGAGGCTACCTTCTGGCGGGTGGAGGAAGAGACCCTCTCTGAGGTGCCCTCCTCCCATGATGGTCCCGTCTGCCGGCCCAAGCAGGCAGGGCAGAGGGGCGCCCCTCGCCCGCCCGCCTTTTCTCTCTCCTCCTCTGGGGCAGGGCGCTGCCGCAGTGCTTCTCCCTCCTCCCTCCACTCCCCTCCCTCCTTCCCTCAGCGTGGTGGCTGGAGCCCGACGCTCCGAGGCGCCCTTCTCCCATGACGGTGCCATATGCCGGGCCTGAGTGGGCAGGGCAGAGGGGCGCCCCTCGCCCACTCGCCTGCCTGCCTTCTTCTCTCTCCCCCTCCGGGGTGGGGTGCCCCTGCAGCGCTTCTCCCTCCGCTCCCCTCCTCCCTCGGCATGGTGGCCAGAAGCCAAAGATGGTGCCACGCGGGGAGCAGGCCCTGGACTCGCTTGGAAGAGCCCAGCAGAACCAGTGTTTTACAGAGGAGGGAGGGAAGGTCTGGGAGGGCAGCAATGAGCATGCTAGGCTTTTGGTGGGGGTGGGGGGGCCTATCCAGGGCCCGCTCTAGGTGAAAGCCTAGCTCGCCTAGCAGGTGGGCTGGCCCTGTTTGCATTGAGAAGATCCCAGGTTCATTCCCCAGTATCTCCAGTACTGCCTGGAAATTGTGAGGCCTAATGGTCTGACTGGCACCTGGGTTGCCTCCAGTCTCCCTTATCTGATTCTTTGAAGCTACAAGCAGCTTGACCTAAGTTCTCAGAGAGACGGGCTTTCATGATTTTTAGCTAGGCCTCAGCTTGAAGTATTGTTTGAATTTAGCAAAAAACTGCTTAGCCTTTGAGGAACCTGTTTCGTGACAATATGGTACATGTGCTATCAATTTCATTCACTCTGAGAAAGTCTCCTTGGTTACTGCAAAGCTTTTGGTCTCCATTATGGCCACCTCCCTCCTAAGTGGAAACCATGTCAGAGAAATGAAGCATATATGATAATATATAGTTGCCATTACAGCAGATTTTAGACAGATCTGTTACATCTGGGCTTATATTTCAAGCCACACCCCACACATTTGAGGGCCCAGTGGGTTTTCAGTTTTGACTGATATAAACATGCAGACCAACAGTCTGATGCAGGAAAAAATGTGGGATATCTTTCTGTTGGCTTACTTTCCTTTTCAGCCCTGTCTTGGTTTATTGGCATTTGGAGGCAAGCAGTGACTGTGGCCAGGTGACTCCAAAAATGGCAGACTCTGATCTTAGTTCTGGTAGAATTGAATTAGTAGATTTGAAATTGGATTGACAACAGAAGACAAAGGTCTTAAATACTGATCACTCAGAAGAGTAGCTATGAGTATTGGCTTTACCTGGTACTGCAATCAGCTTCTGCAACTCTTTTTTCAATCGGCTAATTTCTTTACACAGCTGCATGTCATCCATCCTGCCAAAACAGAACAAAAAAGCCCTATGTGTACAAGGGACAACACGAGCAGGACAGTCGAGCACCTCCTGTTCCATAATTCTGGGATTTGTTTTCAACCAATCTGCCTTAATAAATAAAAGACTGTTGTTCACTCAAAGTGCTATGACCATGATTTTTTTTTTTAAAGCAGTTGTGAGGACTGAAACCACCCTACAGGGATGTTTTCCTCAGTCCCAACACCTGGAACCCTTAGCATCTTTCCCAAAACCTGGCAAAACCACCGAAAAACTCCCCATGAGTTCCAAAGTGATTCTTGCTCACACAGTAACCAACCAGATATAATAGAAAGATGTTTTATTTCTAAAAATTAGAGAAAGCAAAACAATTAGAATTCCAGTACATTTGCTGATAGGTCCAAGAGCAACACAAACAACAAAACTGATTCACTGTATAATACATAAAATACCTGTAGTACAGATGATAACTCTTCTATCAACAATCCAACAACAGCAAGCAGTAGAATGGCCTAAATTATGGCACAATGCATGTCAGGTAGGTTAGCACAAAGAAAGCTGGAGAGAGATAAAACAAAAAGATACCAGCCTAAATCCCCACACCCAATTATAAAGTCTGGCCTATAGCATCAGATGATACGCTACAATGAATTATATTCTTCCCCCTTAGGAATCTTCCAGAAAGCATTCACACCTTCTTCTTCTTTCCCTCTCCCATCCTTTTATCATAGCCAGGCCTGGTTTTCAAAAATGACTCCTACTTAACATGTTCAAATGCCCGTCCTTGGGAGAGATAAGGACCTAAGCTAGGTACACCCACTTAGCCTGATTGGGTCTTCTAATATTCAGTTTAACTCCTAGGTGGAATGAGGGTGCAGTTGCATCACAGCAGGGTTCCAGCCACAGTTCCCTCTAAGCTGTGCTAGGGGATGCTGACACACAAAATTTCAGAGGCAAGCTTAGAGGATTTCTGCTCTGCTCGCAACCAAGTTTCATAGGAAACAATGGAGGATGGGGTCACCTCCTTCTGGGGCCCATAGAATTGGTTCCCCTGGTCCAAACTTTTTGAAACTTGGGAGGTTTTTCGAGGATAGGCACTAGCAGGTATGCTGCAAATTTTGTGTCTTTAACTTTAAAAAAAAACTGAGCCCCAGATACCCCTGGATCAATTCTCCATTATATCCTTTGGGTCCCATTGACTATAATGGTCCCCATAGGCTATAATTGAGCCAGGAAAAAAAAAGTGTTGGGTGGTTTTTGTTTTTTTTGCAAACCCCTATTATGCTTTTCAGTATGATTTGTAAGCTCCCTTGAGTCATAGGGAAAAGTGGGATATAAATATTGGAATAAATAAGTAGTTTGGGTACTTATTGGGTAGGTTGATAACATTTAAGCAACTTCCTGTTTGTTAGGTTAGGCAGGGTTCTGACAGTAATTGTTCCACCTCTGTTATATTTGACCTGTAATGCTGATTGTCATATTTCACTAAAAAACCCAAAATAGACTGCAAGAGTCCCCCCCCCCCCCAAGTTGAAATTTGACTTGAGTCTGTTTTCTCTTATAATGTTTAAATTATTCTTAAAATATAGTTTAAATATAGTTTGAAAGAATTCATTCTGAAATTTTTACAAGGTTGTGGAAATAATCTTCTAAAAATAATTTATGGAATAGTCAAATGTAGACTTGCTGACAACTTTAATGCTACTAGCTTTTTTCACTCATGAGGTAGAATGTCTGCTCACAGCACTGTGGAGCTTAGAGGGAACATTGGTTCCAGCAAGGTTTAAGAAATGACACTTGAATTCAACCAATTGTAGTCTGTAGCCCTAAGCACACTATCCTGGGAGTAAGTCCCACAGAATAAAATGGGACTTGTTTTTGTGTACACCTTCTTAGGATTGCTTTCTTTCTTCTCTAATTCTTTATCCAGAAAATGGTAGTCACCTAAACCGCGGTCTCCTGCCCTGAAATTTTCCCTCACATAGTAAACGTTTTAGATGCCTATAAATATGTGACCCAACTGATGGGAAATCAGGCAGAACAAAAGTAAAATCCCCTAAGGGTAAGAATAAGACAATTTACCATTATTTTCCTGTTTTCTGAAAATAACACAACTAGAAGGGACTCAAAGGACTTACCAAAAGACAAAATGGTGACCAGAGGTTTAACCACGCCTAATGAAGCTTCCTTAGACTGTCTGGTGCCAAAAACCTTACAAGCTTCATTACAAGCGTCCTTCCAATCAATGGAAGCTACTATTTTAAACTCTTTAACTGAAAAAATGGCAGGAATGCTTAGCCCTTTAAATGACCATCTGACAGAAATAGCTGTTACGCTGACACAGACAGCGAAAAAAACTGAAATGGCTTTCACACTAGCACAGACTATTCAAGAGGAAACTAGGATGCTTCAAGGAGAGACACAGGCACTGAGAGATCGTATTTCCTACGTAGAAATGGCACAACGTCAAAATAATCTTAAATTTCACGGTCTGCTGGAAGGTATTGAAGAAAATACTGACCTTACATGCTTCATGGGAAACTTAATTGCTGCAGAGTTAGGAGGTGAGAAATACGTGTTTCTTGTGATTTCTAAAGCTTTCAGACAGGGCCCTCCAAATGTCCCTAATAGGAAATTCCCTAGAGATGTTGTGATAACCTTGGCAGATCTCAGGGTGCGTACATCTATCTTACACCTTGCTAAACAAAAAGGTCACCTCACATTTAGAGACATTAATGTCACAGTTTTGCCAGATATACCCCAAGGCGCTCTTCAGCTCCGGAAAATCTTAAAGCCAATTACTCTAAAACTACGAGAGGCTGGATAGAAATACAACTGGACTGCACAAGGAAAGCTTCTAGTGATAAATCATGGATGCCAACTTAGAGCTCAAGATGAAGACAGTGGCCAATCTCTGCTGCAAGCACTGCACCTTGAAGATCCCATAGATTTGGAACTGAAATCATATAAAAGAAAATTCCCACCAGCTAAGTTTCCTGAAAAACTGACAAAAATCCCAGTGCGTTAATTCTTAGTTCTTTGCAATAGCAGGAAAAGATGTCTAATCTTATGTTAAGACTGTTTTATAGTTATACTTAGTTCTTAGCTATATTGTTGTATCTTATTGATTAGTATTTACCCTCTGATAATAGTAATGTGTGGCTGCTTTCCCTAAACTATGAATTTTATACACTAAAGGGGTGGTTGATTGTTTGTTCAATTGATTAATTACTTGTTTGATTGTCTGTTTGATTGATTGTAATTAATTGTACTATTGATCATATTATTAATTGCTATATTGATTCATTTTGAACCAATTTGAATTAATTTATTTTTAACCCTTCTACTCTACAGAGATTACAGCATTTATTATCTAATAGTCTGATAATCTATTGGTCTGCTATTTACAGTTTAAATTTTTTTTGTTTAACATCATTTATTTCTTAATCTATTCAAAGTAATAAAGTGACATAGCAAATTTTTGTGGAGCACTGACTTACAAATAATTTGGCATTTTTAAGAGAACTGGTTAAATAAATTTCTTAAGTGTTTAATTAATTAAAATAATTATATAAAGGGAATACAACTAAATACCAATTTGTTTATTGTTTATAAAATACAGTGCAGAATTTAGAAAAATTAAAGTTCAGTACTATAGTAATTTTAAAGTTACTGTTTCTTTTGTTCTAGCTTTGGACAGACATCTGGTTTAACCATATTAAAATATAATAGTACTTTTTAGTATAGTAAAAAAAATCCTTTTTTAACAACATGCCACCTATAAAAGTAATGTCGTTTAATGTACGTGGTCTGTACAATAACTATAAACATAAGAGAATCACAACACAACACAAATACAAAAAACCAAACCGGATATACTTTTTATTCAGGAGACACACATAAGGTCACTAGATTTACCACTCTTAAAGTCCTCTTGGTACAACAAACAGTATTGTGTGCCAGGTAATTCAAAATCTCGTGGGGTGGCAATTCTTTTGGCGAAACCTCTGAGGTTCAAACATATAGACACTCTACAAGATCCTCATGGATGGTATATCTTCATAAAAGAAAAACTAGAGGGACACTTAATCACCCTGGGGTCAATATATGCTCCGAACTCATCTCAAATTCAGTCCCTGAAACAAACTTTACAGGAATTACAATCCTTTAAATCAGGTGAAATCATTCTAGGTGGTGACTTAAATTACATACTCAATAAGCATTTGGACAAATCACACTTCAACTCATCAAACTAGAACTCTACTGCTCCTGAAACAGAAGTACATCATTTACTCAAACGTAATATCTTAATGATCTCTTAATCAAAATACTTGTGATTACACATATTACTCCCCTAGATTTGGATCGTATTCCAGAATTGACTATATCTTAGTTTCTCAAGCCTTACTATCTCAAGCAACTGAAGCCTTTATTGGGATTAAAATCTGGTCGGACCACTCTCCAGTTCATTGCATTTTCAAAGGATTTGACCAAACACCAAAAGATAAAAGGTAGACATTTAACTCTTCTTTTTTATTATTGGAAAGCCACAGAGAAAAGATCCTTCAAAGAATTAAAAATTTCTTCAAAGATAATGAAAATTGTGAAGTTTCCCCTGCAATCCAATGGGATGCACTAAAAGCAGTAATCAGAGGCCAAGTGATATCCCTTGTCACACACCTGAAGCAACACAAAGAACAGAAAAAGAAAATATTGAATGCTTAGAGTTGCATAAAAGTTCCGGAAATCCTCACATTTACAAAAAACTTCAAGCAGAGCAGAAAATCTTAGAAGCAACCAAAACCACAGCCATTAAACTAAACCTACTATACTTAAAATAACAATTTTGGAAGAAATCTGCCAAATCACTGAAACTTTTCGCTTGGAGAGTAAAGGAACAGAAATCTTCTTGACATATCTATTACCTGAAAGACTCGATTGAACAGCAACACAGAGACACAAGAAAAATACTCCAGATCTTATCGGATTACTATTCAAATCTCT